TTCATTGAAGCCACCCAATTTGCCAAGAACTCTTAAAAATCCTTCAGATATTTAATTGTTATTGAGTACTATTGATTTTTAGTATATTTGTAATACTTTATTGTTATACATTATTGCTATGTTAGTAGGATGAAATAACAATTAAAAGATAACTTTAATGAGACTGATCGTGTTATTAATTTGAGACTGGTTAAGGAGGAGGCAAACTTACTTAAAAAATGACATAGTAAAAAAAAAAAAAAAAGTTCTCCTCCCATTCCGTATGGAAGATATACATTTTTGGCTTCCTATTTGGTACAGCTCCCCCACTCATTTTTATACCTTTACTTAAGTTTAAAAGAAAGGAAAAAAAAACAAGGGCTAAAATTTGTTTGCAGATTCTGCCTTGTAAACATCATTCAAGTGACACATTTTTTTTAGTTGGGATGGATGATAGGCTGACATATAAGCCATATTTACAGTCCTGATCCAAAATGATTTACATAATAATGAAATAATAATCTAAATTATACAGTATAAATGCCTTCCGATAAACCCACACTACCTTGGCGATCGACTGGTAGAACACGATCGACGTATTGGGCGCCCCCTAATCCACATGATCCGGTGTGTTGCAGAGTTGACATTTATGTACGTTTCCCTTCCTTTAACAGCCACTGGCTTTTCTTATGCTCCGCCACGTTACCAGTAAATAGAAATAATTACATTTCGGTCAAATGACATCTCATTTTTTTATATTTCATAGTTATGCTTTAATTCATGTTGATCCTTGTTTATAAGCTCAACCCTTCTTGACATTATATTTCAGTGATCATCTTTGCATGTTGGTGGGTGAATGATGCAAGTTGATAAGGGTATGTGATGGAGTAAGGCAGAAAGACACCTTAGCTCTTTCCCATCATCTTCACCAGGAGCTGTAAAAAACAAATAAAAGTTTATATCAAGTGGCTGTTTCACGAACCTACCATGCTTACTCTACTGTAATACTCTATGGTATACCACTGTCCACCAGACAGAAAACCATTAGCAAATGCTCCAATTGATTTTACACTACAAGTTGAATTTGTATCTGTTCATGATCTGAACAAGTTTAAACTCCCACCTACTTTTCAACTTCATTTGACCACATACAAACCTGTTCATGATCTGAACAAGTTTTCAACTTCATTTGACCACATACAAAAACATCATGTTCAGATCAATCAAGATGATAGTAGTTGCAATCATTTTAACAGCTTAATTGTATGTTTAGCTACGAAATTGGTTCTAGCCCATTTCTTTTTTTTTGTACCTTTGACTTTCAAAACAATATTTTTCACCTTAGCATTATACTTATTTCACAGATGATGCAAAATACAATCTGCATTATGTGCAAGTGTATTTTCCTGTACGTAGGATATGATGTGTATGCGTACCTTTGTTAGGCAGTACTCTCCATCGACCAGCTGTTCAATGACATTGAAGTGGTCTGTGTTGGGCACATCCTCCATGGTGACACTTATTTCTGATTCTTTTAATTTCTTGAAGGATGAGGAAACAGATAATAAACAATATATTAAGATATAAAAATGGATTTTTGAAATAACTTTCAATGTTGTTTTAAATACATTAAAACACTGTTCACACTATTCTATTTTTACACACGTTACTACACATGTGGGCAACATGCCCGCTTGGTAAAAGACATGGGACTGAGTAGTTTTGAACTCTAGCTGGAAACCGACAATCAGTCTTAATAAAAGTTCAGCCATGTTTTGTAAGATTGTATGACAGCTGGTTTCTGTCTTGTAATTACTGGTAGATGTTTCTAATAAACCCCTCGATCCCCCCGACAAAATCGAAGAGGTTCACCTCGCCCGGATTGACGTCACCGGGGCCCCACCCTGGAGCCAGGCCCGGGGTTGGGGCTCGCAGGCGAGCGCCTGGTGGCCGGGTCCTTGCTCACGGGACCCGGTCGGGCTCAGCCCGAACAAGCGTCGTGAGCCCGCTTTCCAGTGGGCCTACCACCCGCAGGAAGGCCCACAAGGGGCCGGTGCCTTGTGATTTGGGTGGCGGTTGTGGGCGGAGACCCTGACGTCCCAATCCCTGGACAACCACTCGGGCTATGGGGACATGGAATGTCACCTCGCTGGGGGGGAAAAGAGACTGAGCTCGTGCGGGAGGTCGAGCGATACGATTAGATATAATCGGGCTCACCTCTAAGCACAGTCTGGGCTCTGGGACCCAACTCCTTGAGAGAGGCTGGGGTTGCTCGCGGTGAGAGGCGGCGTGCTGGCGTAGGCTTACTTATCGCCCCCCAGCTTGCCAGTCCTGTGTTGGAGTTCTCCCCACTAAGCGAGAGGGTCGCTTCCCTGCGCCTTCAGGTCAGGGACAGGTGCCTCACTGTTGTTTCGGCCTACGGGCCGAATAGGAGTGTAGACTACCCGGCCTTCTTGCAGGCACTGGGAGGGGTACTGGACAGTGCTCCTCCCGGGGATTCCATCGTCCTGTTGGGGGACTTCAACGCTCATGTGGGCAGCGACAGTGACACCTGTAGGGGCGTGATTGGGAAGAACATCCGGCGCCTCAGGAGGGAGAAGCAGAAGGAATATTTCGAGGATCTCCTCAATCCCACTGACACGCCTTCCGCGGAGGGAGCTGAGGCTGAGGACTCAGCAGCTGATCCTCCCATCTCCTGCGCTGAGGTCACCGAGGCATTCAAAAAGCTGCTCGGTGGAAAGGCGCCGGGGGTGGATGAGATCCGCCCTGAGTACCTCAAGTCTCTGGATGTTGTGGCAGGGCCCATGCAGGTGCAGCCACTGACACGGGTCCCGTAATCGGGCTTCTCCTTATATTAGTAGGAGCCGGGACTAAGAGAGGACTGAGGGACTGCGCAGAGGCAGCGATAGTCATGATAGCACTGATAGTCATGATAGTCATAAAGAGACTGTTGAACATCGTGTTGATGCCAGCAATGATAAGCTTTTCTCCATTGTTCTCAAACTTCTCTCTGTAACTGTGTAAGGGAAGTGATTATGGCACAAACTTGTTGCTAATTGGATGACACAGAGCGTTGTTGCCTAAACAGCTATTCATTTGCGTTCATGCAATGCTCCATTTGTGCCACCTGATATTAAGGTGCGTGTTCTTGTTCCATTTACATTTATTGTGTTTGTAGAGTTACCGCTCAAATCGTGTCCAACAGGTTTCGGGGTAAATGTCTCTGTTTGTTTACCAGAGCAAAAGTCATACTTCCTTGTATATCCAACAAACAAGATAGACAAGACAACTTTCAATATTACATAAATCAACAACGTATACTGTCCGTGTGCTACACTTACATTGTAATATTCCACTGACTGCCTACGGAACTCTGGTGAATCATTCTCAGCAAAGGCCACAACAATTTGGCAACTGGACAAGGAGAGTTTAAGCTGGGGGACCAACAGACTGGGACTGTTCCTCACTGCGTCCTCCCTGCAAAGAGTTGCAACCACGAGAAACATTTTAAGACACTGGAAAACTGCCACAGTTGGAATCTTGAAGGCTGTGGCGCAGTAGGTCACGCAGTTGTCATGTCTTGTCAGGGGCGATGAGTTTGATTCCAGAGTTAGTAGGCCTGAGGTTTATGGCAAAACCTGTAGTGTAAAGAGCTTTGAGTGGTCATCAGCACTGTACAGTATCTATAGTACTGTCATAGAAAACATAAATAATCAAATAAGATATCAATGCAGTCTTTGTGGTTTATCTGGTCATTTATCAGATTATTGCTTTCTATGCATTGGGGGAAAAAAAAAAACATTTCACCTACGAAAGCAAAGACAAAAGCCCACACATAATCCTTCACATAGTTCTGTTCATTAAAACCAAATTTTCATTACCCACAACAGAGTTTGCCACACGACTCATCAGCTTCATCGTTCAATGCCCATTTTAACACGTCTTCGCCTTGAAACGATTTATGGTGTTTAACGATTAAGTAAGTCAGCCAGAACGATGCTTTGGTGGTGATTTTTTTTTTCCTCGGGTCTCTGAAAAGTAGTATTTGTATTCTTTGAAATAGCAATGGTAGACTTACAGATGAGGCAAATGCACTTCAAATAACACATGGGTCATCACACTTGTATACAAGCACGCCAAAAAACTCTTGTTGTCTACTTTGCCTCCAATGTATTTCTTTTAAACTCAAGAAAGGGTACAAAAATGGAAGTGGATGAGATGGACCAAGTAAGAAGCTAAAAACCTACCGTTTCCATGCAGAATGGGAGGAGGACTTACAATTTTACAATGTCATATTTCAAATGCGTTGCCTCATCTGCCAATCTACCATTTCCGGACTGTTCATGAAAACTACAACACTGACTTCCCTCTGGAAAGCAAGCGAGAAACAGAAAGGTGAGGACCTCTTCCACTTATCCGGACGGCAGTCATTTTTCTCACGGTTGACCAGAAAAGAGAAGGCAGCCATCAAAGCATCATTCCTGGTGAGTCATCAAATCGTTACTTTCCCAGACTTCCCTCAATTATAACTGCATAATAGACCAACAAGCATTATGCAAAAAGATACTGGATATGGCAACGAAGATCGCCTGTTCCATTCGAGCCAAATTTCTTCAAAGAGCACATCTGGAGAAGGCTGACTGCTAACACATTTTTAGTTGTTTTTATTGAGTTGTTGCTACACACTGACGTGAGACGACGTAGTCAAGGGAAATTCCTGCAAAGATTTCGAGAGTTCTCTCTGGATATTAAGGAGTTTTTTTCCATATAGCTAAACATACAGAATACAACCAACTAAATGACGACCAGTGGCTGCTAGACTTGGCATCTGACAAACGTGTTAAATGACCTTAATGTAGAGCTGCAAGGAAAAGACAAAAACCTTGATCAATAAACTGCCTGTCAGTGTTTGACAAACACTTACAAAAACCGTGATCAATATGATCAGCTTGGTTAATTGTTTCAAACAAAAAAAATTCTCAGATTGAGAACTGCCTGTCAGTGTTTGACAAACACTTTCAAGATTTCGTTTAACTGGAGCGAGTCGCTACATTCATGAGCTACCTTCTTCGGGACGATGCAGAGGTTGATTCATGCCCCGTGGCATCAAAAACTGAAACACTGTTTCGCCTGAACCTTTCTGAAGTGGAGGATGAGATTCTGACACTACAAGCTGAATATTAATATTAGATTCAGCTTAAATCCAGGGCTAATGGACAGTTGTCTGGAACTAACTCACAGAGGGAAAAAATACCCCTGCCTGAGGAAATGTGTTACCTCCTTGATTATTTGGCTTTACTTACTTATGTGAGTCAGCCTTTTCCCACATGAAGATTATTTGTTATAATTTATGGGACAAAACCTCACAGCCCCAGTTTAGGATGTCGAAAAGGGCACCCTGATGAGCCTGTAAGTTATAAAGGCACATAGAGAACAAACTGAAGTTCCTTGTGAGGAAAATTAACTTCAAGAGGAAAAACAAACTTCAACAGAGAAATGAAGCTGCAAATTTGTCAACGGACGTTTGCTTTGGACGAATTTCTACACTAGAGTAGCTTGTCTGTTGGATCGAAACATGAGTTGATGAGCTTCAGCCCACTGTCCCTGCTCTATTAATATAATTCTGTGTTCAAACGCAATTCAATTTTTACACCTTCCCTTTGGTGTCTGCTTCTGAGACACCAATTTCGATGACAAAATGTCCATAGTTACAGACAACTCTTTCACTGGAATAACTGCAGTCAAGTCACTTACTCAGTCATCTTCAGAGGCTCATTGACATAAGTTGACAAGATGGGCAGAAGGTCATAGATGCCACTGACCAAGAGAGCCCCTATAAAACAATATTGAAAACGGTGTGAAAAAACCTTGGACAATGTATTATTTCTAATCGTCTGTTCCTTCAGAAAACTGTATGAAACACTAAAGTTTGATAAGAATATAGGATACATATAAATATTTTTTGACTGCCCCAACCTGTCATACACAGTCAGATGACGCGTGTTTCGAATTTCTAATTAATGATAGGGCTTGTTGTCCGGTTTATTTAAATGCCTTTCTCTATTGCTACTGTAGATTACCGGAAAAGTACCGTATTTTCCGGACTATAAATCGCACTTTTTTCATCGTTTGGTTGGGGGGCACTCTAGCTAGCTCGTGCGACTTATACTCCAAAGCAACATATAATCCGGGAAATATGATAGTTTTCTGGAAACCGTAGTTGTCCCAAAAAGCAGACCTTAAGGCAATGTTTCCATTCAATATTGAAGGTTCACTTATGCCTATTCCTCAGTGAAGTAAAGTTGGTCAATGTCGTTAAATGACTCTTGGGAGCAGCAGAAAGTTGGACTGTGGTTCCACTCTGCATCTATACACAGTATGTCTACTTTTGGTTTACTTACATTGAATGTACAGTGTGAACTAAAAGATAAAACCGCATTGCAGTTTGTATAATTCTAAAATATTGTAATATTGTTTAACATATATATGTATGTACAATATTAATTAATACCGTACAGTAATATAAAGTGAAATGTGAAATCCAAAAAAAATCCAAAAACATTGTGTCTTTACAGTATGCATTTAAAACACTGTGAAACAAAACGTGCATATTTTATCATGATTCACTTTTTTTTTTAATCACCTTTGATTTGAGGAGTGATACCATATTGGGACCAGTCAGTGGATAGAACCATTGCAGTCAGGTGAGCCCCGGCAGAGTGTCCACAGATGTACACCCCGCTAAGTGAGGAATCCAGACATACAGATATATGGAAAATTCAGGAACAGATTTGTTTGAGAGAGAAAATCCTTGTGGTATATTACATGGGGAAAAATAAACCTGGATGAAATACCTGATATGAGGAAACTGCTTGATGACAGACACAACACTCCTGCGTACCTGACATACCATCAGGTCGATGTTGCCTAAAAAAAGGAATTGTAAAGTCACAGGCAAATGGACAAGGTTTTGAGGCCTACAGCCGGGTATGACTGGCAACTTACGTTATCCTATCAGTCTCATTCATAAGGTTTGGGACCTTATGAATGAGACTGATATGATTTGATTTGACTCGCTCGTTCAATGTAGTTAATTCTTTAAAATGCATTCAATCTAATCTTGCAAAGGCAGTCATGCCACTTCTAGTTTTATTTCTGCATACTGTGAACAGTATGGGGTTGGGTATGACTGGCAACTATGACATGCCACTTCTAGTTTTTTTTCTGCATACTGTGAACAGTATGGGGTTTTCACTTTACCCATGTTTTATAAGTGAACAACATGTAGCATTGGTTTGTGTATATTAATAGGTGTTAGCAAAGGCTGTAATGATAAATATCGTTACATATTAAAATATCTGGTTGTTTTTTAGCATGTCAAAAGTGTAATGGAAACTTCGCTGCAAATGTCTCATCCAGCGTGGTTTGCTGAGGTCAGGATGTGTTAGTTAATATTTATTTAGGGCCAATTGCGGCCCGCGACTCAAATGGTTTGCGCACGCCTGGTCTAGCTCATCTGTCCTCAACATTTTTTAAACCCAACATTTCAGACATCTGCCTTCAGTTCAGCTGCATTTTTTTAAATAACACATTGGGAATTTATCATTCAATACTTTTATTAGGAATACTAATGATTTGAAATTATGTGTTATATGCGTAGAACTGGAAAGCTTACCTTTGGGTGCTATGTCGTAGTCGACCGCAACCACTACTACATCTCTACTGATTAGAGGGACAGCCATGAATCCGGACTCCTCCTTACTTTGAGAGAAACATACAACAGTGTGAGAATACCTCAGAGGTTTGGTCTACACTGCCATACAGGGTCATTTACTCATACCTGAAAAACTGCCAGTATCCACCATGTAGGTAAATAACAAGAGGAACATCTAAGAAAAAAAAAAAGAGTCATGCTATGATGCTGAATCATAATAATGTACCAGAATGCTACTTGTGTGTTATAACAGCAAAAAAAAATGTAAATACCTAGAAGCGTTTTGCCGCATATGTAGACATCTAGTTTCTCACCATCCCCTTCACCGTATGACACATTTAGAAGTGTCTGGACCAAAGCACCGGCTTGTTCCGTACCTGTAGAACAGATTAAATTGTGTTAACCCTTTAAGATGAATGCGGGGCAATGCTAACTAATGATTAACGCTTCTTAATTTAAATATTAGAATAGAATAGGTTCTATTTTTTTAAATGTTTTTTAAAGGTCATTATGTACACCAAAATCTTTCCAAATAGGCAACAACAGCATTGCCCTACCACCACCTATAGGGCTGGAATGTGTTGGATGGATGGATATTTCTTAATGTATTATTTCTCTATTCTGAATTATCTAATCAAAGTTATGCTGCTCCCAGTCCTAGTTTGAACATCAAATGTCTAGTCTTTTCATTGTATATAAATGGAAATGATTTATATATATTTCATTTTTTGTATCTTTATATTTCATGCAATATAATTTTACAAAAATATTTCCTGAACATGAAGTGTTTGTGTATTTTCAAAATTCAAAAATAAAGGCACTGGACTGAAACCGCCCGAAACCCGTGTGTTTTAGCACACGGGCCATATGTTTAACACCCCCAGCTTTCCCGATGTTTCAGCTTCATTTGAATGAAAGTGTGTGTGTTTTCTCTTCACACAAATGACAACTGGAAATTCTGGTTTTCGACACCCTGCCCTGAGCTTTGTCTAGCAAATTAATTTTGGATTAATATACTAATAGACTGACCTTCCTTTAATGTCTTTACATGAGCGTTGATCACATCGTCTGCTGACATCCTGTGGGACCAGTGGCTCGGTGACATCTGCCTCTCCAGCTCCTGTCAGATGGAGAGATACCACTGATTGTTTGTGTGTGTTTAATCATGAGATCTCTACATGTGTTACCTCTAAATGGGACCAGAAACAAAACAAAAAAAATTGTGCCTAAACCAAGCAACGACTTTACAATCATAAAAAAACATTGTTGTGTCCTGTCACTGCCGAAATAAAGTCTAAAGTCTGTGAAATAGAATGTCTACAGCAGATGTGTCAAAAAACTAATTTTGACAGAAAAACAAGAAGAACCTGAAAAATGTTGGTTCACGGGCCACATACAACCTAATTAGATGTGTGCTCGCTTTGGCCCAGAGCCAATGTCACTGTCATTGGTGAGGAACTCCGCACCACCCGCAGGAAGGTTCAGGGGGGTTGGTACGGTGGAGGTCATAGAGACTGCTATTCCCGGTAATACCCGGTAATGGATAAGTGGATGAAAATGCCATGCCATGCTATTCTTAAAGTTAACTATGAAGACTCTCAGTCATCCAGATCCTGGTCAAGAGTTCTGTTAGGCAACTGGATGTGAAAGTTAGAACCGAAGAAGCCTCTTAGGATGAGAGATGAAACGTCTTGTTTGAGAAATGTTCACGTCCATCTGCCTAACAGAACTCTGTAACTAAATAGATTTGGGACATTTTACATCAATAGTTGCCAAGTCCACTTTTGATTTGTTTTGTTTCAGGGGTTGCCACAGCGAATCATTGATTTCCATCTCTCCCTGTTCTCTGTATCTTCTACTCTGACTCCAACTATCTGCATGTCCTCCCTCACTGCATCCATCAATGCATCTCATCAATCCAAAGCAAACAAGAAGGGGCTCAGGGATCCTAGTCACACCTCCACCTTGAAGTCTTCTGTCTTTTCCAACAGCACACCTCACTACTGTTGTACTATGTCCTCATACATGTCCTGCACCAAACTAACATACTTCTCTGCCACTCCTGACTTCCTCATACAAACCGGTGCTTGGGACCGGCACTATAAAACACGGCTTCGTGTACCCTCGTGGCTGGCTAAGTTTGCACATACATGTGTGTATATATATATATTCATATATATATATATATATATATGTATATATTTACATATACATATAAATATTCTTATGTCAACAAACAAGCAATGAAACATGTTATCACGATGACTTTAGTGAATAAATATAAACAGGGTAAAAAAACAAAGCACAAAGATAACTATTTCCATATTTTGAGATGACAATTTTAGGATGCGGTTTGAAAATTTCTTTTAGGAACTGTTTAAAAAACATTTTTTTACATAATAACTTTGCACTTCTCCTCTATCCATTACACCACCAAAAAACTACAATATTAAAAATTGTCAATACCCAACTAAAATGTAATAAATTAACCATGTTTTCATGGTTAGATAAATATTAAATATGACGATACATATAGTGCCACGTGTACATCTTAAAGCGTGTCATTATAAAGAGGCTACGTAAACACCAGGCCTTAAATTCACCACTGACGTCACATATTCAGTCACAATTTATCGTCATGGAAAACAAAACAGAACAAACAAACAACATATATATAAATTTATATATTGTTTTTAAGGTCTCGGTCGGTCTGTGGTGTTCATAAATCCCTATTATCATTGGACCAAACTTAGCTTAGCTTTTCTTGATAAAGGTTACGGTATACATGTTGCGACCAAATTACAACAAGAAGTATTAAACACAATAACTGCGTAAAATGTACTCACCTCGTGGCTCATTTCTGTCCAGTGCATTGTTTTGTCTTTTCAGTGTTTTAAAAGTTGAACCCAACACGAGTGTTACTCAACGCCTTGGACTTTCAACTTTACGTTGAATCTGTATCGCAACAACAACGCATGAAGCAAAAGACTCGATTTATAACTTCTCGGTAAGGAGTGGTCGTGTTTGTTCATCAAACAAACAAACATGAAATCTAGAAAAAGGAGTTTGACAACTGACAGTGAAGACTAACATTTCATGTGTGGCCTCAGAGTTGTATTGCAGTGGTTGCATGGTTAATATTACCATTCATTTTCTTATGCTGTTTTGTATTGTTTTATATATTGTACATACTGTATGTATATATGTTTTAATAAAGTTATTTATGATTGATAGGTGTTGTGTTTAGTTAGGAGCTAATAAATGAACGAATGAATAAACAAATGGTCCTTGTCATTGATTACTTCCTTTACTTGATCAAAATGACTTAACATGTTCACCTTATGGACAATTTTCCTCATGGTTCTCCGTGCAGGCTATGGATAAAGCACTGTTTAGAATCCATTTGGCCCACTTTAGAAGACTTTTGGGAGAATTCCTCTCTATCGGTAACGTTAAGTAGAACCCCTGAGGAAGTCATGTTGCCGGAAGTGTTGACGTTCGATCACATGTCTAACCGTGCCACCGCTCGCGCACCAAATTCTTATTGCGCCCCGAAGGCGCTAGTTCTTTATAAAATTTATGAAGTTGAGATCGTGTAGTTCCTAGACGTCGGAGCGAGATGAAACAATAATCGGGTTCATCTTATGGCCTATAGAGCTCACAATGTGCACCATATGTATATATATATATAAACATATAGTCATAATAGTTATTCTTATGTTTTTAGGTCAGGTGGCGAAAGAGCTTGTTTGACTTTTCAACCATGGCTTAGGCCTTAGAATGGTAAAAAAACAAAACAAAACAAAAAAAACCTCTTTACAAACTCTGCTAATGATTTTTTGTTTTTCCTTGTAACACTAATGAGCTTTTAATTCATCCCACTTTATTAAAGTGTTCTTTTTGTCTTTATGAGGAAATACTCATAAAGACATAAAATACTTCTAGGAGTAGTTTTAAATAACTATACTTTTTGCTTGTACTTGAGTAGATTTATGAAAAAGAAACAATAGTCTTACTCCGTTACATCCTTCCTGCCTTTTGGTGTCCTCGCTGAATTTTTTTCAGAATGGGAAGTCTGGTGTGTATGGCACAGATATGCACAGAAAATGTAAAATGTCAGTAAATATTCAAGTTGTTGTACAGTGTTTTGAGGAAATGGATAATAAATGTTGCTATATAAACTACATGTAAGATTATTCTCGAATGCATGAGATGCAATAAATGTTTCTTTTGCTCCTGAGTCAAAATATAAAAATCTTTCAACCCGATATCAGCTTTTTTTAAACACGTCAAAAACACAGACTGAAGTGATTTAAGTGTCAGATGTGAACAAGAAATCTTTTGAGTGATCAGAAACCAAAAAAAGAACCATGTTTTCCACCAAGAATTAAGACATTTTTAAATTATAAAAAAATAAGCAAAACAAACAAGGTACACATTATCACAAAACAATACATCACATCAAAAAGCAAAAAAAAAAAAAAAAAATCAACAAAGGAATGTATAGTGATACAAAATTGTAAATATCAAGACTGTAAACGCAAATTTACATATATATTTGTATATATGTTTATGCATGTGTCCTGAGGTAGATGGCAGCACTGAGTCAGACGGCCTTCTAAAAGAAAAACTCTGCTACTGCAAGAAAGGGAAGGAGAGGGACTATGACTATTAAGGAGGATGATTATTATTAAGAGTTTGGATTTTTATGGACTAATGGAAATGCATGTTTCCACCTGAGAACTTAATATTTATATTTATAATGGCAATAAGAATATGTCTGTCTGATACATGTTCTCGTGAGCAAATGTATGAGCACACAAGAAGATGTAGGAGAGAGTTGACATTTGACACTTTGACAATGGTAAATTTGAAAACCGTCTGTATAAAGCAGTGCTTCTCAATGGAGGTGTAGGGGGTGTCCTTAACATTCATTAAAACAGGTGAGGTGTCATGGCATATTCATGCTTGAACGATGAACAACCCTTTGGTCACTAGATGGCAGCAGAGCAGGCTTTATTAATCATTAATCGTTTTCAGCACAGAGTAGATAAAGCGCTTGCTCAGTGTGTGATTTTTGCTCGGCTCTACATGTTATTGTTGATATAAACTGAGTATAAACAAATATGTATATAGAGTTCTCCACATTTCCCATTTCTTAGTATAAATATGTACATATATAGTATATATTAGTGATGTGTCGTTCGCGAGTGATTCGTTCAATATGAACAAATCTTTCATGACTCGTGCCTCCTGAGTAACGTGAAAGATTCGGGACTCGTGACTCCCGAGTCATATGAAAGATTAGTTCTTATTGAACTCACGAATCACTCACAAATCACTCACTGCAAACTCTCTGTGAACTAATTGTTCACTGTGAACTAATCTTTCATTGCAAACGAATCACTGTGGACTAATCTTTTGCTGTGAACTAATATTTCACTATGAACGAATCACTCCCTGTGAACTATTTCGCCGTGAACTAATCTTTCGCTGTGAACTTATCTTTCGCTTCGTTCTCGCAGATTCGTTTCATTTGTCACGCGGCAGCGAGCTCGGGTCTCTATTGCTCTCATTCATCTTCACATTGTGGTGTGTTTTCTTTTTGTGTTTTCACATGGTCTAAATGCTTATAGCACTTTGTCAGCGGAAGCAAACCATGTTGCCTTCAGTATCTAGTGTCGGAGAACCACAGCCTTCTTTACAACGCACACAATAGGGCTAAAGCGCCACCTGCTGTAAAACGAATGAAATAATTCGTTAACGACTCGTTCATTTTACTGTTCGAGAGTCAAAGATCCGAATTAGTAAAAAGAGTCGGTCTTCCCATCACTAATATCTATACACAAGTATACGTGCATTAAACTAGGTGTATATAAATCTGATATATATTATCCAATAGGTAGATTTCACACGTCAAAAGTGGAGCGCGTTTAAAACTATAAACCGATTCCTTTAACTATCGGACTTGTATACGGGTGTACAAATCTGACGAGGTATCCAACAGAACACCGGCAATGACGCAATACGACCATTTCCGGCAAACGAAGTATCCTTAGCGTCCATCCGGGGAATAATATTAAAGGGACACCGCTATGAACAGGCGTATAATCTTTTTTCTTTTTTCTTTTTTTAAGCTGCTGGCTAACCAAATAGCGTTGTCTTCTGGTTTATTGCCTTGATACATTACATTTATTATTATTTATTAAATTACTTTATCTTTTTTTTAACTCTTGTTTCATGCTCCTCCCTCGCGCCTGGCCTTGAGAAGCTCCACGACGATTGGGTATTTTTTGTCCACATAAAGCCGCCAGGAATCGTAGGCGCGCCAATTTCAACTGCATTTCCTAGCGGACGCGTTACTGACAAGAATTGTTTTACTTTGTTTATTTCTTTATTTTGGGATCGCTCGCACTACAGTTAACAAATGGACTGCGTGAATTTCCCCAAAGTTCTCCCGAACTCACCGAGGAAAGCTCGAGGACAAATTCAGGTTTGTCATAAATATACACAAAATAATAGTTGAAAGTAAACTGAATTAAGCAGAACATAAAGCCGAAAGATTAATTTGCGTTTTGTTTTGGAAACATAATATTAACATTCGCTTTTTGTGCAGGTTATCTTTGGGCCCATGTTTTCAGGAAAAAGGCAAGTTTTATCTAAAAACTTAGACAACATAGAACAAAACAATACATTACAGTCCCGCCAAGTCGCTTGCGTTGTTTAGTCAACAAAAGTTTGTGTCATTGTGACTTTACTTTGCATTGCTTTTATGTACCTTATTGTACAATGCAACAATATAGTTATTTTATCGTAGCTTTGAGAAAGTCAATGAGTGCTATTCCAAATTTTTGCCTGTAAACCTGCCAAATTACGATTCGTATAACCTGTTAACCTACTTGTTGCATTACAGCTGAATTACAGAATAAAGCAAACATTTTCACGTAACGGTGAGGCATCCAAATAAATATAAATAAGTGTCACAGCCGTTGTTCCGCACTCTACACATTTCTTGGTATCAAATTATATTACTGTGACACATTTCCTGTAATGTTAAGAACATGCATGCATATTTCTTTCTAAAATAAATAAAAAAGCATGACAGCTTATTATTGTGATTAATTTTGCAGCACTGAACTGATGAGAAGAGTGCGGCGTTTTCAGATAGCCCAGTATGTCTGCCTGGTGATTAAATATGCAAAAGACACACGCTATTCTGACAAGGGCATGGCTACACATGATAAGTATGATTTATTTCATTGTTTTTAACAATTTGAAGTACATTTTCATTGTAGAACCTGTATATTTGTAAACACATATATATATATAAACAGTATATGTATGCGTGTATATGTACAGTATATATATGTGTGTGTGTAGATGTGTATATAAACTCAGTGTGTTTATATATAACCCACATGTAATATGTCTGAGTCTGTTTTATGAGCTGCCTTTCTAAGAAAATAATTAAATAGTTTATTAATTATATTACATTATATTTATATTGTGTCCATCTCACCAGGAACACAATGGAAGCCGTACCTGCCAACTGTCTACGAGATGTAAGAAACCTGGCACTGAAAGCCTGCGTTATTGGGATTGATGAAGGACAGTTTGTAAGTACATTTACTGACAGTATGGTTAATATTAATTCAGTGGAACTGTGTGTGTTGTCCTAACTTATTGTCTTCTGTATTGCTGCAGTTTCCAGATACAGTGGAATTTTGTGAGGAGATGGCCAATGTAGGAAAAACTGTTATTATAGCTGCACTGGATGGAACTTTCCAGAGGAAGGTATGATGATGTGATAATGATAATTAGGACAAAGAGCATCAGGTGAATTAATGAAATAATTTGTCCATAAAAAAGACGATATGAGCAGAATTTATAAATAATTTGCATGCACTGCATTAAACAACGGCTTTTGTGCCCCATTAAGGCCTGATGTTTTTGTATTGAAATTACACATGTTCTTGCTGTTTTCTGCGCTGTTAAGCCATTTGGAAACATCCTGAACCTTGTGCCACTGGCAGAGAGTGTGGTGAAGCTTAATGCAGTCTGCATGCAGTGTTATAAAGAAGCTGCATATACCAAGAGACTTGGTGCGGAGAAAGAGGTATATACTGTATATACTGTATGTGTGTATTCAAGATTAAATAAGGATATATAAGTGATGTCAAAATTATTATGTCAAGTTCTATTTACCTAAGATGAATCTGATTTAAAATTTTAACTCATGGGCCGAATGAGGTGGACTGTATATCATAATGCAGTCTTATTCTTGTTTTTACTGTTTTACTTTGAGTCAACAACCTTCCTTTGAAGGAAACAAAAAATTAAATCAACGTTCGATCAACTTTATTGATCCCATATTTGGGAAATTCTTGAAAATCAAAAAAATTCCCCCATTTAAGAAATAAAACCCCAACTAAACAAAAAGCAATGAAGGTTTTAAGTTATGTGAGGCCTGATGATGACGACAGGAGGTTTGCTGTTTTGAGTGACCTCATTGTGGCTGCCATACAGTTGACCTTGCTGTCACATATGCTATAAATTAGCAAATATTCAGCTTACACAGCTGACATACGTTCCAGTTTGTGATTATTTGAGCTTCCTCACACAGAACCCGTGCACATGCAAAAACCACAAGATTGCGCTGGCTGGTTACTAGTCGAGGCTAATCATGCTTAAAAGCAGCTAATTCCAAGATCTGGCTATTAATCTGTACATTTCTTCTTTTTTAACAGACCTGTAAAAAAGTGTTTTTTGTATATTTCCTTACATGTGATACCTTAATGTCTATTTCATAGGTGGAAGTGATAGGTGGAGCAGACAAATATCAGGCTGTATGTAGAAAATGTTATGGTGGTCTGATGGAGGAGAAAGAAAATTACTTTTTCAAGAATGAGACTCCACAACAAATCCCCGTGGGAACGCATCTTGACAGTGGAGTACCCAGGAAACTTTTCTCTTCCATACATCTGTGAATATAATCACTTTACAAGACATTCAGTTGTCATTTTCTAAGTGTAAGTTGTGTGCATTAGTTCATTTTGGAAAAAGGCGTATTTCATTTATCACATTGCTATTATTTTGTTTAACGTGGAGAAAATGAAATGTCCTGTCATGTCAGATTTTATTGCTCGTTTTAGTTCTGTGTTTATTGGAAATATATTTCATTATTAATTGGCTGGTTGATAAATCAGGCCTTTTTACCTTATGGCTTTTAGAAAACCTAATGAGATATTTAATGCTTATTACATATAAAGGGCACAAGCATGTCGAGTGAGATATTTAATGTTTACTACATATAAAGGGCACAAGCATGTCGAGACACCTCACTTACGTGCCTACGTTGTTGATGCAATCCCAGTGGCTTATCATATTATTGTACTTTTATTTGTTTTTCTGCTAATCTGTATTAAAAGGCAAGAAAAACACGAAATGTCTGCTTTTTTTTGTCACTATGTCTTTTGTAATCTTTAACCTATTTTTTAGGGAGTTTAACTAGTTATATTCCACATTGTTGAGTATTAACCATCCCCTTGTCCTTCGTATTTTGTATACAACCAGCATCCTCATAATGGGTTTGCATCTTGTCCTTGAATCAGAGTATGAGGAAAAGTTGGCACCAGCCGTGCAGAACAGGAGCACACACACGCACAAAGGCAAATTATCAGCCACTGGGTCACCTAGACTCAAAGGACATCACAAGGGTTAAAATTTGTTTGTACTTCTTTTACTGGCTATAATCTACATTTAACTTATACATGCATGCTTTTGTTTATATGTAAACTGTCACACCATGACATGAATGTGTTAATAAAGAATCCAAAATGACCACCACCTGATTCCAAAAAAAAATATTTGTAACAGAAAATGAAGCTATGACTTGAAGTACTTTTTAGTGGTACAAGTGACCCAAAGTGACTTCCGAAGAATATTTAACTATTGAAAATGGAGCATGGCTTGATGAAGGCTCCAAGGATGGCTTAAAATGCAAAAGTCTGTCACTTTTGGAGTTTATGGCTAGCTTATAGTGTACCGTACATTGTTGTAATGTAGTTGGACATGGACAATGGCAAAAGATATATTTTGAAAACTTTTCCAACTTCGTTCCAGGAAACCTTCAGGATAGGTATAATCATATATGAAAAGACAGGTGAACAAGAGATGGATGTTCAAAATAAAATACCATGAAGACTAACATAAATTTAAAAGTATATCCAAATAAGACTTTTTATTTTTTTAACATTCTGTTATTGATGGCAGACTTTATACCAGTTTCTGCTTGTTTATATGAGCCAGCAAAAATATTTTTTTGGGATAACAGAGTCTTACATACAAGGAGAGGATGGGATGTTGGGAAGATGCATTCTGACAAGAGTGCTCTAAAATAAAGAAAATTAAAAAAAAAAAAATGAAGGTAATAAGGCCCTAAAAGGAGCTATTGACAACACTATTGAGCTATTGAGAAACTCCTTTTAAAGCCATCGTAAGGTGTCATGGTTGGTTAGATAATTACCTAACTTTTGAGAGTGTCTGACAACTTCAAACTTAATGTAATGTTTATTTCAGCATTTGTTATAACTTCTTCACTCATGCTTTAAAAACCATGACATTTTATTTATTTTACTTAACTCTAACTTACATTTCCGGTGTTCCCGTCAATATCTGAACGACAAATCCAAACTTACAAGGCCTCGAATAAGGCTGGACTGTACCATTAATGCAAATTTTGTAGGGGGGGTCAAAATCACTTTACTTCAATATTCTTTAATAAAAGATAAAATAGAGAAACTGTTTACATTTTGTTTTTGAGCTAAATATACATCTTATTCTAACTACTACCAAAAAAATACTTTCACTGTTGAATTATACAAACTTTTTTTAATGGTTTCTGTCCGACGTCCTGAAGTTGAGCCATTACTAACTACGCCCAGCATTAAGAGTTTGGAGATCGTCTAAATAGGTAAGGAAATACATACTTGTCAGATATTTGTTTATAGTATTTCCTTTAAGTTTATCCTTATTATCTTAAGGCAAAACTGCATAAAAGAACAAAAATAGGAAAGGTTACATGACTGGTTAAATATGGTCGACAACAGCACGGAAGTGGTCGTCATTATCTTACTAAAAACAAATTTAACAGAAAAAAAAAAGATATTCACAGTCTTTGTGTGTTAAAGTTTTGGTTGTCCGCTTTATAATAGCAGTGATTTTCCTTCCCGACTCGCGTGTGAATATGTGCGTGTGTGTTTGTGTTTACGAATGCATACGAAAGTGAGGGGTGTCTCGTTGTGTGTTAAACTGTTTGTTGTTGTTTTTGAAGACCTTTTGTTTTAGCCCTCATTGTGTGGACACTTGGTCCTTTGGAAATTTTGCTGACATTAAAAATTCAAGGGAATTAGTGTGTTAATGTTTGAATAAGAGAATGCATTTCTATCAAAGTTTTCACAAAAAGCACATCCTGTCTGTGTATATTATAGTCAACATGATATAAAAAAATAGCATTACATTGTTATGAACCCAGACCATATATATACTGTATGTATATATGTATATGTATATGTATATATATATATATATATATATATATATATATATATACATACATACATACATACACAGTATGTGGTAAAAGTGAGTGTCCTGCGACTGTTTCTACTCTTGTTTGTGGTGTTCTCTAAAGGGAGTAGTACACACTGCTTTAGGAAATTGTACGTTTCTTGGCTATTTCTTGCATGGAACAGCCTTAATTTCTAAGAGCAAGAATAGACTGTCGAGTTTCACATAAAAGCTCTGGTTTTAGAGAGTACAATCCAACAAATGTGATGCTCCACATACTTAACCAGCTCTAAGGAAGGCCCGTTTTCTAGCTTCTCTAACCACAAATAGTGCATCAGATTTAATTTAAATGATAAGATCATTTGCATATATAGAAAGGTATAGCTTATGTTAATCTATCTTATATAAAAAGGCACAGCTTATGTAAAAAGCAACAGTGGTAACAGGATGTGGTGCGGTGTGTAGTGGTGCGTAGTGTTGTAACAATATTTGACATTACTATATATATACGCAGTATATATATATATATACAAACCAAAAATTAGGAAACCAAGGCCAAAAACCGAAAACATACATAAACATACACAACACACTGAAATAAATTATTAAACCAATTATTAGTACCATTTATGGCTATGACTGTGAACTGAACCTCAATAAAATCAAGGCACTGTCACTGCATAATTTAATAATAAATAAATAATTGTCAAAATAATACATTTTCAAATGAAATTAACTGATAGTCACATAGTACACTACTCTTATACTAAATAGTACATTTTGACTGAAGTATTTTACTTGGCTATATTGGAAATGAACCTGTTACTGAGTAATAGATTAAATGCGGGGGGAAAACAATCTGCATTAACTGAAAGTAAATTTCGTGGGCATGCGTGCAGATTTCCCACCATTTTAGTAAAGCCAGATAACGTTGAATAACAGGCAGATTTTACCTTGTCATTGGATGATGTTGCCGAACAAAAAAAATGGAGGTTGAGGATTGCCAAGCAGAGAGCTCCTGTGGAGGAAATCCTTGGCCATATCTCAGCCTGCTCTTTGTTTTTGGGACTCGTCAATCATTATGTTTTGTATTTTTCATGTAACTCGTTCAATATTGATTTAATTTGTTTCATTAAAATCCAGTGAAATTAATTACGTATTTAGTCTCATGTCCATATGAACAGCCATGACTGACTCATTACAACCTATAAGAGACATAAGACTTTTATTTTTTAGAAATTTGAGACTTGGACTCGTAACCAAAGTAACTTGAGACTTGACCATGTCTCACCCAACAAAGACTTGTCTTGACTTGGACTTACAAAAATGAAAGACTTGTGAACATCTCCGTGACCTGCCATTTACATTGATTGTGTATGTAGAGTTGCTGCTCAATTTGCATCTATCACATCTTGGTGTGAACACCCCAATAGCCAATTGGGATTTGGAGACTTGACTCATGACCAAAGACTTGACCAAGTCTCACCCCACCAAGACTTGAGACCTGATGTACTTGTGAACAGCTCGTAGTGTACCATTGCATTATTCATTCAATTATTCTTCTTCTTCTTTTTCTTTCGGCTTTGTCCCTTTTTTTCAGGGGTTGGCACAGCAGATCATTGATTTCCATCTCTCCCTGTTCTCTGTATCTTCTACTCTGACTCCAACTATCTGCATGTCCTCCCTCACTGCATCTCCTACCTGGTAGCTCCATCTCTAACATTCTTCTACCAATGTATCCACTGTCTCTCCTCTGCACATGTCCAAACCATCTCAATCTGGCTTCTCTAGTTTTTTCTCCAAACCTTCCTGTCTGTGTTGTCCCTCTGATGACCTCATTCCTGATCCTGTCCATTCTTGTCACTCCTAAAGAGAATCTTAGCATCTTTAACTCTGCCACCTCCAGCTCCGCCTCCTGTCTTCTGCCTATTGCTACTGTCTCTAAACCATACATCATGGCTGGGCTCACCACCGTCCCGTAAACCTTTTCCTTCACAGATCACTCCTGACACTTTTCTCCAGCTGGTCCATCCTGCCTGCACTCTATTCTTCACCTCTCCTCCACAGTCTCCGCTGCTCTGAACAGTTGATCCTAAGTACCTAAACTCCTGCACCTTCACCACCTCTGCTCCTTGTAGCCTCACTATTTCACTGTTCTGTCTTTCGTTTACACACATGTACTCTGTCTTGCTGCGGCTGACCTTCATTCCTCTTCTTTTCTAGTGCAAACCTCCACCTCTCTAGGTTCTCTTCTAGCTGCTGCCTACTCTCACTACAGATCACAGTGTCATCTGCAAACATTGATATATGCGAAGTTTAAGTTTGCCGGTTGTTTGTTCAGTAAATTGTAGAAAATTGTGGAAAAGAAGGTTATATTCACACACGTTGGCCTTGAATTTTGTGCACATGCCAATGATATCCAGTTCATTGAGTTCATGGAGGAGAAACAATATAAGAAAAATATTTACAGAACAAATATATTCAGCAACTATATCTTCTAAACATTTGATTGTGTAATTCACAGGTTTACTGACATTTGCAGTCGTATTGTATAACAAACTAACCTACAAGGTACTGTTGGCCTTGCCGTCCCCCGAACTTTGGGCGGCGGCGCCCAACTTGTCCCCGTGTGTGTGTTTCAGGGACACAGTCAATGCAGACAATATCAATGATAAATCACTACAAAGGTGAAATGAGCAAAACGACTTTGAAATTGTTCAACGGTGCACTTGCAGAGATCTCTCTGGTTTTGTTGACAAGTCACCGCGAATGGATCGTGTCTCCCTCTCTACATATCAATACTCACAAGCAGTTGCATGTGCGATGTCGACGATGCAGAAGGACGAATGATCTCACAGCATTCAGTGTCTCGGACTTACCTCTGTTACCATATTGCCGCTTGCCTAGCTTGCCTAGTACAAGCTGCGACATGTCCACTGTGTTCAAATCCCAGGGATCTACAAGCTTCTTTTGTCATTCCACCTCTGATTTCTTCAGTACTTCTTCTTGTTCCATTTTCCCCCCAGGTGATTACTATGGTAGAAGTGGATAGCAATATCTGGCAGGGACGTTTGTGATCACACTGGGGCAGGACGACAAAGACCAAGAAGAATGGCTGGAAACGTTAGCTTTGTTCTGGACTACCCTCTCCAAGAATCAGGACATTTGTAAGTGTAAAAGTTTTTTTTTTTTTTAATTTTTGCTCTGTTCCTCTTGTTATGCATAGTTATTGTAAGACCCGTGCTTATTCTCGGTACAACATAAAGGTTTTATAAGTTTCCTTGGTATACCTGGTTTCAAATTGAAAACAAAATACACAGTAGAAGTATCAAGGCACATGACCTCAATGTATTTTTACATCAGCTGACCACTGACTAGATTATGATTTAACACACTTTAGATTTAACGCACTTTGGTAACTAACTGTAAATTCTATTTGCACTAGGTTACGAGAAACTGGCCATTTATTGTGCAAAAAGTGATTTCCAGGTTTCATTCTTTTAAATGAGATCAGAAAAGGCTACTTATCCTTGTTTACCTGTACCTCGTAGTCTTGCAAGGACTACGTATTATTAATAATATTATTATACGTTTTATTGTGATACAGGAAAATGTACACCCTCCTATTTCACTAAACTTTTTTTCTAGTCGGTTCACATCGAAAGGCTCCAGACATTCTCTTTATCCCAAGATGTAACTGAAGGGTTCGACTTTCCCAGGACAGGTCACAAATGTGGTTGTCAATCTTAGAACCAAAGACAATATCTTTTAAGGAATGTAAATAACGCATGTAGGCCTGTGAAATGTAAAAATAGTGATTATGCAAGGGTTTTTATGTCAAAAGTCACATTTTTTTTTATGTCACGTCTTTAATGTGGTGAGTCCTTGGGCAGGATTTAGTATTGGCCCACCGTAAACCATCAACCAAGGCAATGCGAAATGTTAAGCAGCAACTCTGTCCATAGGATTCACTCAGCCGTTTTATAATAGGTATCGAGTAAAAAAAAAACACACACACACACACACATCTTATATTTAAGGTGCACATATAAACAAGCATTTTTTTCAGTGCTGTCCTTCGCATTCAAAGCTTAATTGTTGCTCAATCAGAGGAATGTTGTAGTTGTTCTAGTTTAAGAATAAAAACGTTATGAAAGTTATGTATGACAAGAAAATCGCATCAGAATATACAGTTGAAACCAGAAGTTTACATACACTGTGTAATTTTTTTTTTCTCATTGTCTGACATGAAATCAGACCCTCACTTTACCCGTTTTAGGTCTGTCTGGATTATCAAAATTATTTCTGCTAAATGCCAGAATAATGAGAGAAGGAGTTTTTTTTTTTAGACTTTTTTATTACCTTTACTTAAAATCAGAAGTTTACATACACTATTAGGGTTACTGTGCCGTCAAACAATGTGGGAATGCCCGGATGATGATGTCATGTCTTTGGAAGCTTCTGAGGTTCTGAGGTTAATTGACAACATTTAAATTAATTGGAGACACGTCCTGTGGTCGGATGAAACTAAAATCGAACCGTTTGGCCATAATGACCACCGTTACGTTTGGAGGAAAAAGGGGGAAGCCTATATATATATATATATACATATATATATACACACACACATATATACATATATATACACTTATATATATATATATACACACACTTTTTTTTCAGTTATAAATTGGGAAAAATGTTAAAAACATAGAAGAAAATAGAAAAAAGAAAATCGATAAAGAAGTGGTTCTTTATCTATTTTCTGTTTTTAACACGTACAGATATAGACATGGACTTATTATTGGCTCACATGGCACAGTGCCCAAATGCATGTTTGGCAGGGAGAATGGCAGTCATGATATCAGTTGGACGTTACACGCACACACACTGACTCACAACACTGTCACCATTTACCATCTGTCGCCACACACCACACTCATTTAATGAGAACACAAAGATGATCCATATAATATTGTGCATTTCCTTCAAATGAGGCCAGTTTTAATGTACAACTGTACATCTGTATAACTTCATACTGCCTAATGCTGTATCTGTACACTGTGTTTTATCATATATTCACACAATGCTGTATTCAATTTGATGATTAAATGATTATTTGTATTGGAGTGGCCATCACAAAGCCCCAATCTCAATCCTATTCAGCATTTATGGACAGAGCTGAAACGACAAGTGCCTACAAACATGGAACAGTTATACCAGGAGGAGTCAGGAGGAATGGGCACAAACGTATTGTGAAAAGCTTGTAGAAGGATATTCAAAACGTTTGACCCAAGTCATACAGTTTAAAGGCCAAATACCAAATACTAAAAAAAAATAAATAATAATATTTAAATATTATTTAAATATTATTTAAATAGTCAATATTATTATTATTATATAATATTATTATTATTAATAATATTATTAAATAATATTATTACATATTATTTAAATATTAATATTTAAATAATAAATAAAAATAATAATAAATAAATAAAAAATAAAATAATAAAAATAAAAACTACCAAATACGAATGAAATGTATGTAAACTTTTGACTTTTAAGAATAATAAAAACATTGTCTAAAATTCTCTCTCTCATTACTCTGGGATTTAGCAAATAGAAATAATTTTGAAACAGGAAAAGTGTAATCTGATTTAATGTTAGACAGTGAGAAAAAAAAAAGGATTGTGTGTTTTTATATACAGTGTATATAAAAACTGCTGGTTTCAACTGTATGAAAATGCCAGTGTTACTACTTCTGAAGAAGGCATGAAACTGGCAAGACTTGTTACTGTATCCATGTCTGTACTTTGCTACTGCTTTCCAGTAATTTCTCTCTTGGAGTCTTTACCATAAATGTGTTTTCCCCCCAGGAGTCCAGTGGATGAGGAGGGTGTTCATGACTCATTCAACCTACTTATACAAGAACAAGATCAGAACAATGGATTGTCTCAGGCTTTTGAGCTACAGCCGTTACAAAGAGAGTTGGGAGATGAGGATCAAGGTACTATGGTTGTAACAGCAATATATATATATATATATATATATATGATTAATTACTTTTACTTTTAACCTTTAAATTCCTGAATGTTTATTTTCCTTGTAATATAAAATAAGTTAACATAAGATGGCCCAGAGTTGGGACACCTGTTGATTAGTAAATAAAATGTGTTCAAATTTGTTGCTAGTTGGCTTTTGTATTTCTGTAGTATCTCTGTATTTTTATCTAGTATTTCTGTGTTAAATTTAGAGGGTCACATTTTCTCATGTTTTGAATCATTTTTAGTTCAGTTCAGCAGTAGCATTTTACTTTTTCACAATTTCACTCTCCATCATACAGCAGATAAGACAGTGGTTTCAAACCATGTCCCTTGTCTGTAGAGTCTAGATTTACCAATTTTAACACCGCCATTTTATTTTAATTTAGAATACATGTTTTCTCCTCCCCTATTCAATTGGCTAAAATCCATGTCCTCACCTCTCAATGGTAATGCTGTGTTCAGGTCAGACAGTGTCAGTGTCAAAGTGTCTGGCTTAAATTACGCAATTTCATATGTGAAAATTGTGAAAATGTGAAAATTCAATTACCATTCACCTAAATTCAAAAACAAATATTTTTAAAAGTAACTAATTTGTTGGGTTTTTTTTTTATTATTTACTTCACAGATGTTGTGGCGTACCCATATAGCAATGGAAAGGATTTTAGAGAAAGGAGACAGAGGCCTATAGCAGACGAATGGAGGCATGACGAGATGAGTGACCCCCTCCTTAGGGAACGATGGTCCTCGGCTACGATGAAGATACTGTCGTCAATGCCGAGTCGAACCATCGGTAAGTCGAGCAGAAACACAAATACAGAGACTGGCCAATTCTGACAAACAAAAAAGAAAAAAAAAACAAAACATGTTTTGTAACAAAGGAGGAAGTGGCTATGTAAAACTGCGCTAATTGTTCCATATTACAAAGGAGGAAGTGGCTAGGTAAAACTGCGCTAATTGTTCCATATTACTATTTAACCCAGTTGCTGCAAGAATTAAGAGATTTTACTTCAATATTGTTATAGAGAGGCAGCAGGAAAATTTTAGAAGTTGAATAACCCTTTGATCTGATTGGTCCATTTTAATTCCCAGCGGTCAGTGCGTTATTTATTTTGGTTTTCTCGGATTGTTCTCACATCGTTTTGTTCTCAACAAATTATGCTACGTAGTCAATGCAACTCTTGAATTATTTTATTCAATTATTCAATTTTATTCACTGTGAATTTAGTGGCTCCTTCATGTCTTGTCAACCTAAACAATTTACTACTGAGTTTCATATTTACAGTTTTTTGAATTCTGTGTTTCCAAGGGAGAGAGAGATAGAGAAAGGTCCTATGCTCTTTTAATTGATATTTATGTAATATCTTTTGATTAACATCACCAGCCAATGTGGGCCCTCTCCTTTCTCAGGCCGCAGCAGGGGAGCAATCATTTCTCAGTATTACAACAGGACATTACAACTTCGAAGACGCAGGCAGAGCAGACCTTCCATTAGAGATTTCTCTCACTCATCCAGACCTAGCATACGAGGCTATGGCATGCAGTCTGACAGCACTGATGCAGAAGAGGTGGAAGGTAAGGAGAACTATGTTCAAATTCATTTTCAGACTGGACCAAGGGTCACTTCGCTCCCGTTTGAACTTTGACTTTCTGTTCTTTAAAAGCAATTTAAAAGGTAATTCTTCATATTTATATTCATATATATATATACTAATATATACAGTATATATACATATATATATATATATATGTATATATACTGTATATATTCAGACCTTTGTTTTATATATTCAAGGCCTAATTTCTTGAACGGCCTTTCGTAATACATATATATATATATATATATATGTATTACGAAAGGCCGTTCAAGAAATTAGTCCTTCAATATATAAAACGAAGGTCTGAATATATACAGTGTATGTATATATATATTCAGACTTTTGTTATATATATTCAAACTTTCTGTATATATATATTCAGACTTTTGTTATATATATTCAAACTTTCTGTATATATATATTCAGACTTTTGTTATATATATTCAAACTTTCTGTATATATATATTCAGACTTTTTGTATATATGTATTCAGACTTTCTGTATGTATATATATATTCAGACTTTTTGTATATATGTATTCAGACTTTCTGTATGTATATATATATTCAGACTTTTTGTATATATGTATTCAGACTTTCTGTATGTATATATATATTCAGACTTTTGTTATATATATTCAAACTTTCTGTATATATATATTCAGACTTTTGTTATATATATTCAAACTTTCTGTATATATATATTCAGACTTTTGTTATATATATTCAAACTTTCTGTATATATATATTCAGACTTTTGTTATATATATTCAAACTTTCTGTATATATATATTCAGACTTTTTGTATATATGTATTCAGACTTTCTGTATGTATATATATATATATATGTATTACGAAAGGCCGTTCAAGAAATTAGTCCTTGAATATATAAAATGAAGGTCTGAATATATACAGTATATATACATATATATATATATATACATACAGAAAGTCTGAATACATATATACAAAAAGTCTGAATATATATATACAGAAAGTTTGAATATATATAACAAAAGTCTGAATATATATATACAGAAAACTGAGACCATTTTGACCACACTGCCCCATTTGGGCCGGCGCTACGCCTGCTACCGCCGACCAGCCGGCACACTATACGTTAAGCCACCACTGTCCCAAAATGTTGAGTTAGGCCGCAGCAAGATTTGAACTCATGACCCCTGGTTTGCAGGACCAGTGCTCTTACCCCGGAGCTATGTAGCCCTAGAACAGCATACTTATTTTAAATGTACTTTTAACATCAACATTTTTTTTTTATGAAATGTTTAGTGTAAATCTCAGATTAAACAATCAAATCAAAGCAAATACTAACTAAATACTAAAGATTACTGCCACTGCCAGGAGGACATCGTAGATGGCATTTTGGTGTTCACAGAAACATGGATGAACTTTTACACAATAAAAGCCGGCGAGCAACAAGTGTTTACTGTAATAAAAAAAAATGTATTTTTTAAAAACTGCAAAGATTATGCCATACAGATTTGGATCTTTTTCAACTTAAAAAAATGCTTGCATTAAGTAGTCATGTGGTAACACTGTTTTTTCTAGTGGGATTCCATTACTTGTCAGACAAAAATCAACATTAATTCTGGCCATTTTAGTTTATGGTAATAAAGCAGCAAAAAACATTTTTGACAAATAAAGACCATCATATTTTATATATGAAACTACATGTGCAAATTTTTGGAGTCTTTGATGGAACACTTGTAAAAAAAAAAGACAAACATTAGAGTGATTTAAGACGAGTTGGACTTTGCTTTTATTTTAGTGTAATGCTTGTGGGTAACGTTTAATTCCTTGTTTTACAGCTACTAAAACTAAACATTTGGTGAACAACCTGCAGAACCTCTCTGTAAGTGACAGGGTCAGAATGCTCCGGGCAATGCCTCTCAGTGTGTCTGAGAAGAGTGAACTGAGGTCCTTTCTTTACTATATTTTTGCAATTTTTGCAATTTGCAAAAGTCACTTGTATAATACCTGAAAAGTGATTTTTTTTTTCCCTGCTGTTTCCACAGGCAATTAGCATTGCAAAAGGAGAATCGTCCACTTTCAGGAAATCAAATATCCTGCTTTAGCCGATTTAAGTTTTACATCAAAATTGTAAGTAGACTTAAAAAGCATAGTAGTACTGTGTAGTGATTTTGTTTTTAAAATTTAAAAATTCTCTCTCTGTTTGCTCTTAGTTAGTCGGTGACTGACAAATACCCTACATAGTTAGCATAGGTATCAAAGGAGGCTGTCAGGAGATTCTTAGTGTTGGCCTACTAATGCCTGAAAACGTGCCATCTGGTGACAACAGACATTCTTGTTGCTCTACCTTCTATTTTTTTTTTTTACATAAACATAACTGACAGCCCCCCCCCAAAAAAAAAAATTAATATGTAAACATATACAGGTTATTTGTACCATGATTTCCAGACTATTGAGCGCACCTATATATACTGTATATATATATACATATATATATATATATTTATGTATATATATATGTA